GATAAAGTTTACATAAAAGGCCATCTGTAATCATTCAAGTCAACCTTGGATAGGGAGACATGCAGACACATATTTCACTAGTTAGACAAAATTTATTAACTTACTGTGGCTGGTATAATGTGAAAATAATTTTTCACAATCACATAAACTTTGATGTAGATTGAAATATCTGTTTCTCTTGCCTGGCTCGGCAATTCAGGATGAAGTGCAGGACTCCATCTCTTAGATAAGCTGATTATTTTGCAAGACAATCATATTGGCTTGTCGTTGATATTCCAAAGTGGACAAAAAGGTTGCATGTTTAATTTTTATGCTGTGTAACTGCAGTCTCTAAGTCCTACTTCAGCTCTCGTTCTTCAGCTCGGGATGTGACTGAAAATGGCTGTGGTGCCATGGGATAGCTAATTGGTAAAGCCTGTTTGGAATGTGGGTGAGCGAGCCATTTTGGCAGTAAGCAGAGTAGTAAAGAGCACTCTTTTTCCCCTAGTTGACTCCCAGGCTAAAATTAAACAGAGTTAGATATTTTCACATTTAGTGATTTACAATGCATCTGTTCTGAGTCAACTAGCAGAAAGAACTAATTACCTATATACTTTTATAAAAAAGAACTCTTCATTTGAGTGTAATATGCTGATCTGCATTTTTATAGCATGCCTTAGTGCAAATGCCCTTCAGAACACTAAGATAATAAGTAAAAAGATTTTTTCTTCTTTCTGTTATCCTTTAAAATAATTGGACACTAAATTAATGATGCTAACTCAACCTCTATCAGCACCTGCTTATCATTCACATGTCCTGAGACATGTAGGAGACATGCACTCAATGCTAAAGTAATGCACGGTGCAGTTTATATAGCAAGATGGTGTAATGTTTTCTTTAGTTACTTAGTTACTGAAAATAAACAAAACTTGTCAGAATTAGTTTTTATTGTAGATAGTTCCTTTTGTTCGTATTTGTGATCCCTCCCCAACAGAAAGTGTACATGAACTATAACTTATACTTCAGTTTCCTGTAAAGGTTTTTACGGGGGAATAGCTAAAATGTTTTACTGAAAGTTTTTACTTGAAATAGCAATATAGATGTGTTTGGATACTGCATACAAACAGAGCAGAATTTAGACAGAATTCTACCAGGGTGATCCTTTATTGTTGTGGAGATAAAATACATTTTTCTACACAGAAGTAGCAAGGCTGTTTCTCAATGTCTAGTGCATCGTAGTATATCATTGTTGTGTTAAATATGAGTTTCAGTAAGTAAATTTAGGACTGAGCTATTATTGTCTATTCTTCCTACTAAATTTGTTTCACCAGAATGTTGGAAGTGACTCAGTAATGCAAAGTTTTGTTTCACAAGGTTCTTACAACTCCAAAACCACAGCTGTTTTTGCCAGGTGTTGCCACCTCATTTCTCCTTCCCAAAGAGCTTGCTCACCTCTGCATTCCCCTTTCACCATCCTGTGACCTTCATCCTTTCCTTCTGTCTCTGTGGTATTTGAAGCCCTTTCCTGTTTTTTCAGCACCACCACTCTGCTGCTCTACTCTGCCCATTTCACCTATCCTGCCTTTACCTCTGGCCTCTTTCCTCTGCAGCTGCATCCCCCAGGTGCCCTCTTCTGCTTCACCAGAAGAGCACCATATTTCCTTTTTGTCCCACTTATTATATGCTTGAATTTCCCTTTTGAAGGAGAGGGTAGGGTGAGAGCCCTAGGCTAGCAACCCCTCTGCTCCTTGCTCCTCCAGCAGCCTTTGCTTGGCGGACGAGGTGGGAGGAGATGACAGCAAAGCCAACGCAAGCGCAGGAGGCCCCAGGTTATCCTCGAGGCCCCAGGTTATCCTCAAGGCCCCCTGGTTCCTTGGGAAGATGAGTACTGTTGCTGCAGCTGTCATCATCCAAGGAAGCTTGTCAAGAAACTCGTCTGCAGGATGTGAATGCCAAGCGCAGCTGTGCTCTGCTGCCTCCTGTTCATCCTCCTCCACCACCCACCCGCGGCCTCCCCTTAGTTCATTCCTTCAAGAGAGAAGAAAGTTGGGGAGGAAAGAAATTATTTTGCCCAAACTACGCCTGGCAAATGTCACCGTGACTTTGAGGAAATTCTCAAATGTTCAAAGATTACGTGGCGTTGGGTTTGATTCTTATTTTTCAAATCATTTGCTAGATAGATGTAATAGATAACTCTGGCAAGAACTGGGATCTGGAAAGGAAACCTAGTATGGTATGGGACTGAGGTCTGCTTTTTCTGAAATGTAAATTTAATTAAAAGGAGAAAAGGGGAGGGAAGAAAACAAAGTTCACCACAATCTTAATGAAATCCAGGAAACTCGAGCATTGCATTTTGACAGAGACAAAATAGCAGTTAATTATTTTTCTTAGACGTGTAAAGAGTCTGCTGCCAGCTTACAGCTTGGTCCTCACATCAGTGCAATCTTCCTTGAAAACTGGGGAGGATTCTTATTTCTTGGCATGAAAACTCTGGGGGGGGAGAGGAGGCTAGTCTGAGAAACTTTCCTAAACTAGTTAGTTATTTTGAAGAAAGCTGCTCCATGGAAAACAACTTCATATAGGTGATTAAACTGCTCTTTGAATATGGTGGCCAAGTAGCAAATACGGCAGTAAATTTCAGTAATTCAATGTGACAGAAGTGCCTTGGTAGGAGGCCAAAGTTACCTGACAGTCAAATTGAAAGGCAAGTAATGTAATTGCTTATCTGACTGCTTGTGCTGGTTGTTTCAAGTTTTTGTGCTTTTTTGTTTTTTTCTTCTCCCAGACACAAGCTATCAATGACAAAAGACAACTAGAAAAATAAACTATTTTCCTTTCTGTTCTACCTTACTTGGGAGTTTTATGGGATTGTGCTAGTGTGACTTCACTGAAGTGAAAAGATAGTTTCAGTTCAAAGCATGACTTAATTGTATTGAACTCCTTAGTTTTAGCTAACTTTTTCTGCAGTAAACAAGAAACTAAATTGAGTAACTAGCATCATGTGCTACAGTAACACTATTTTTTTTCTTTTTCTTTTCAGGAGTCTGTTATAAATGTGGGATTTTTTGTTGACTTTGCCTGTAGGCTGACTTTATTCCTCACTCTTTGGGAGGTCTCTGACTCCCACTTGTCATATCACATATACATTAAACCTTTCATTAAGTATTGCTGACAACAGGCGGGATCTCTTAAAGATGCAGGATTCTCTTCTTTTGGCATCCAAGTATCTTATAAAAACTAATGATTGTAGCATATACTTTACCAATCCTCTGTTACCTTCTGCTTCCTTTTTCTGGTCTTCTCCAGATCCTGCCGCAAGGCGTATCCACTGCTCTTCTTACTTGCACGTTACTCCTTTACTCTATGCTTGACATCGGCTTTGCTTTAAATTGCAGATTTATTTCTAAGGTTTATTACTGACATTTAAAGCCATCAGATCACATAGACTAGTCTGTGTATAGGAGTTCCTCACAGTGTGTGTTCCAACTTCAAGCCTGTGCTAGGCGAATGATTTATCTTTGTGTATTTCTTGACTGCCATTTTCTCATTGTACTCACCAGGCTTTGCTTGCATCGCTCCAGGTTGGTGGGTCTTCTGCTATTTGTAATTCAGATGGTTTTAAAATTTTGTTATATACAATAAACTCATAAGTTACATCTTCCCCCCCCCCTTACAATTTTGCTGATATGTTTTGAGACATATGTTTTTTGCTGGTTTTTGGAAAGCACATTGAACTGTGTGACAAGCTTTCTGAATTTATTTGAATTTATTATTAAATTCAGATTACTGCATAATTATATTGTATACTGCAGAGTAAATGTGGTATATATTGCTTTAGGAACTATGATTCTTTGAGTTATAGAACTACTGTAATTCTCTAGAACTTGGTGCTTGGACCTTCCAGTAATCAGGCTTTCTGTTTTGAATTTATTTCATTATTTCATTTATTTATTTGTTGTGAAATTGCAAAACTTATACGGAAGGATAACAGCCACTCTTTTTCAGTATAATCAATACGTTTGTATTATATTAATCCATTTATTACTTAATTTTACAGCTCTGTAATTGAGTTCTGCTCCAATAGATACTTTTTCTGTACTATTAAAACAAAAGCCCCATTAATACATCATCAGATTTTTAATGCAGGCTTAACAAAAATAGTGCTTCATGAATTGGGGTTTAGTGTGCTTGACTTCTAAGATTTCTGGATACTGAGAATAGTTTTTCTCCTGTTTTGACCCTTAATCTTTCCCATCTAAGTTTTTCTTCACAAGCATAATAAAACAAGAAATGAAGATATAGTAGCTGTATCTTGTAATCCTAGGACTTCAAAAGCGAAATTTAAAGAAATAAAGATATATTTTAAAATTCAGGATAAAATCCTACGAGCTCACAATACTGAGACCGCCAATGTTAGCAGAGTTCAAAAATATGCCTTATTTTACTGAACTAATCCACTAAAGAATATTCATGATCATATTTACATAAAAAACGTTTGTCGTGAGCAGCTTTGGGCAGAAGACTAACCTAAAGTAGACCTGTCTTTATTAAAAGAACCCACTGTCCTAGACCAAGTTTTTCCTTATTCAGGTTGGGGGGAGTCATGCATTTTATTCTTCTCTTTCTGTCAGGGGTCTCATTGACTCATTTCTTGCATCATGTTATTGTTGGCTGAGAATCTGAGGAAGGGTGTTGCGTGTATTCAGTTACACACACAACTTTGTGAAAACAGGCATTTTTCTTGGCAAAAAATTGTAATAAGCAAAATCAAAATGCAATTCTCTGCATTTTTGTGTGTGTGTGTCCATAACACTGGCAGTGCTGGCAAGTTTCTCACTTTCAAGAAGGTATTGAAGTTTACGTTTTAATTATTACTCTTGATTGGAATTTAAAGTAAATATATGTGTCAGTCCAATCCAAACAAAAGTCTGCATCAAAGATTATTTTTGTGTAAGTAAAATGAATACCTAGATGGAGATTCTTTAACAGATAATTTATATTTTCTTTTTGACGGTGTATAGGTGCAGTGCTCTTGTCCAGCATACAAGGATTAGCAATTAATGTTGATCCAGTCCTGTATACTTGGCTTATCTACCAACCTCAGAAACGAGCTAGTAGACACATTCAGCAGGTACGTATTTTTGGAGGGAAAGGAGTGGAGAGAGGGGAAACTTTCTCTTCCATATATGCCAGTAGTGCATTCTCGTTGCACATACTTGTTTTCTGTCACCTTGTTCTTTGTAGTCTGTTGCACATACTGTTGATCTTATTCTGAATTATTTAAAATATTAAGTTTTGCATATTAGAATTTTAATTTCACAACATTTTAGTTTATAATGTTTAATTAAAAGAGTAGAGGGAATGTTTTTTGATGGTCACTGTTTAGGATCAGTATTTTGCAACTAGTTTCAACTGCTGAGACCTCATAAGCCTCCTGAGTATGAAAACATGATTTACAATCATGTTTTAACCATTTGGGATGGTCTATCAAATAATTGCATAACTTGTTATAAAATCACTACCCTTGCTAAAATCCAATTAAATAGGAGATGAACCATGTAGTTCATAACTTGACATAAGTGAATGCTGTAACAGATTCTGTATATAATGTCAAAACACATATTTACATATGAAGTGCTTGGAAAAGATACAGGAAGTTAAGGTTGTTGGTCTGCCTGGCACAGTGTTTTCTTTGATGTATTCTTGACCTTAATTTTCATGCCTCATACTCCTGACCTGGAAAGAACACAGGTTTTGCCTGATTTTAAACTTATTTTTAACTGTTGTTTAGCAGACCAGTAGAATGGTAAAGCTTAAATTTGTCATAATTGATTGAACTAGTGGTCTGTATACCCTAATGTTCTGTCTCAGTTATAAGTGATCAATGATTAAGTGGCCAGTATAAGAATCTTTCGATATTTGTCTCATAATTATAGAACACTATGCACATCAAGGAAGTTTCATATTGGGCCTTTGAAGTGGGAGGATTAACATGATCTCTAAACATTTTTGGGTTTTGTGTGTAAATGACCTTGTGAGGTAGTAATCGTCAGACATCAGTTTGAGTCCCATTAAGCTCATTCTGCACCAATACTATCTGAAAAACTTAATGTGTGAATAGCTGCTTTATCGGTTTAATACCTTTACACTGTTTTTAAATATGTTGAATTATTCTTCATTCCTGTGTCATAACTGGAGCAACATAGCATTTCATAGTTTACCTCTTTTTTAAAACAGACCATTTATTTACTTTTGCAATATTGTTATGCATCCTTCCAAAATGTAATGGAGCCTGGTTATTTCAAATGTTTGTATAACAGTCTTAACAATAACGTACGTAATCAGCTGTTACTCAATGCTTTCTCTTTTTATTGCCATTGTATACTGAGTGACTAGAAGGATTTAGTGACTACATTAGGAAACTTATTTGTCCAGGGATTCGATCACCAGTGGCAAATTTTTTCACTAAATTTTGCTTAAGTAGGTACTTTGTAATTTGTTTCATTACCTTATACGTTTTGTGGTGATCTGTTACTGATTAAAATGACTGTATCACATTTCTAATGTTGTTAGCATTTGGAGTCGCTTAGTCATTTGAAATGATTATAAATGTGAATTTATAAACCTGTCGACATCATACTAGTTTCAGCGTCAACCTGTGGTAATACACTGCACATAATAGTAAAAATTGCAATGTCTCTAGTAGTTGTGAGAAAAATTTATTTGAAAAGAAAACTATACCTGTATTAAACTATCCTTAACCAAAGACTTTTTTTCTATATGTAATACTGTAATTACCCTAGGATAAGGATTCTAGTCAAAGTTATGGCCTCATATATTACTTATTGGGAAAGGTTTAGGTTGTTAACCATAGTCTTAATTTGTATAAGAAACCAAAAATACTCTGTGCAGCCTTCATAATTTTTGAACATTTAATGGAACAATTATAAGACATGATACTTTCAAGTAAGTGTTATGGTCAAAATGTTATTGATTGACAAAGCTCTTTTCTTTCTCTATTCTAACTGTCAGTCTTATATAATTGCAACAGAAGGAAAGAAAATACAGCACTTTAGAAGTTCCTTGTATGATTCAGAGATCTTAAATCTTAAGATATTTTAAATTTTACTATCTACTTAATACAAATTTTTTTGCTTCCATTTTGAGTATGTCAAAATTGTGAGTTTTATCTGAAAACATGAGAGTCAGAAAATCATTCAGTATGTTTGGTTCTGTGTACATATTCTATAAAGTAATAACATTATAAGTTCAATAAGTTAAGTAAAATAATTAATTTATTTGGGAGCACAGCTATAGCCATATAAACTTCTGATTGCATAGGGCTAGGATTGTCTGACTCCCCACAGAGTGAAGTATGCCTTTACATACCGGAACTTCCTCAGATTTGTTTGACTTTATTACTCTGGGATTCTTAGGTTTATAATGCCAATGTGGTAGTACATATATTTTATATCTTTAATGAAATACTCACTATATGTAATGTAACTGTGTTGTCGTGCTTTTATCTGAAAGCATGAAAAGTTAGAAATATCAGAACATACTTAACTCTGTAAGCTGAAATGGGATAGGACAGAAGTAAGCTTAAAAGTAAATGCATTTTTACAAAACACATACATTTTCAGTGATTTCTCCATAAAACTGTACTGTGTTTTCTTTAAGATTAACATGGAGAAGCCACCAAGAAATGTAATTCTCTTTGGCCTTACTGAGATTTTATTCAACAGGAACAGAGCAATGAATGACTGCTGTGTTGGAGTGGGGGGGTACACGCAGCCCAGTGAGGATGACCCCTTTTCATTTACTACTGTTAGACTATTGCTCAACCTACCTCTGTTTGCAACTTGCTTACCCAGCAGCTAAAAATTGTAGAATTAGTGTGATAGCTGAGACCATTTATAGAATCATGGGATAGTTTGGGTTGGAAGGGACCTCAAAGATCATCTAGTTCCAACCCCCCTGCCATGGGCAGGGACACCCTCCACTAGACCAGATTGCCCAAAGCCCCATCCAACCTGGCCTTGAACACTTCCAGGGAGGGGGCATCCACAACCTCTCTGGGCAACCTGTGCCAGTGTCTTACTATCCTCACAGTGACGAATTTTTTCCTAACATCTAATCTAAATCTGCCCTTCCTCAGCTTAAACCCATTCCCCCTTGTCCTATCACTCCATGCCCTTGTAAAGAGTCCCTCTCCAGCTTTCCTGTAGGCCCCTTCAGGTACTGGAAGGCTGCTGTAAGGTCTCCCCAGAGCCTTCTCTTCTCCAGGCTGAACAACCCCAACTCTCTCAGCCTGTCCTTATAGGAGAGGTGCTCCAGCCCTCCAATCAGCTTCGTGGCCCTCCTCTGGACTCACTCCAACAGCTCCATGTCCTGGGGGCCCCCAGACCTGGATGCAGTACTCCAGGTGGGGGGTCTCACAAGAGCAGAGTAGAGGGGGCAGAATCACCTGCCTTGACCTGCTGGTCACACTTCCTTTGACGCAGCCCAGGATACAGTTGGCTTTCTGGGCTGCAAGCTCACATTCCTGGGTCATGTTGAGCTCCTCGTCCACCAACACCTCCAAGTCCTTCTCCTCAGGGCTATTCTCAATCCATTCTCCACCCAGCCTGTATTTGTGCTTGGGATTGCGCTGACCCATGTGTAGGACCTTGCACTTGGCCTTGTTGAACTTCATGCAGTTTGCGTGGGCCCACCTCTCAAGCCTGTCAAGGTCCTTCTGGACAGCCTTATGTTACTTGGTTTGTACAGATGTTACTTCTCCACACTGTCTCCCCTCCTTTACCCAGTGTGGCTGTTTTGTACAAGTAGGTTATAAACTCTTTAACCGTGTTTATGTAGTATCTAGTACACTATGTCACATGTCCTATGTGTTCTTAGATGGTGTCTGAAAAATGTGGTGAATGATAAATGAGGATTAAAAAGTCTGACTAAAGGTAAACACCAAAAGGAAAGAGAAGCTATTTAAATGAAAAGTTAAGTTTGCACAATAATCAGTGAATATAAACAGGTTCTTCATATATTTAGGCTAGAAGTAGAAGATGTTAAAATCCTGAGTATTAAGACTACAGTAAAGATTTTTGCTGCTTCTATTATCGTTAGAAGGAAATTTTCTAACTTGTTTCTATATGGAATTGTATGTCTTTAGGAGCAATATATATAACAACTGTTTGCAGGAGAAGAGGATTGGACTTAGTGTTTATCTAAAGAAAATGTTAGAATTTGGCTATTCACTTAACGTAGAACCCTTCTACATAAGTTATGTTTCTGTATGGTGTGTAAGTTACATATATCATTCTTCCTCACATTTATTTTAAACGAACTTGGAAAAAAAAAAGGAGAATTTGGAAATAGAACTAGTCTTTAAGGCCTCTGCATGATTTTTTAATACAATGGAATACTTGGTGCCAGATGCTTTCAGTGAATGGCATTGTAGCGTATTACCTTTTTATTGCAAAGTGACAATGCATGCCAAAATGTGGCTGCTGTTACGTATTTGAATAATGTTCTGTGTGGCTGCTGTTGTGGCTATATGGTCAGTGCTCCAGGGTAAATGGGTGTAAATATAACTTGTTTTTCTCTATCCATTCTGAATGTCAACATGCATCTATAAGTTTTCTATTGTCCCCTTAGAAGTGCAGAAACAATGAGAACATTGCAGTCTCAAAATCCATGAGGCACTCAGTGCTTGAACAAATCTGCATATTGCTTTTGAATTTATCTCATGGCTACTAGAAATATGTGGTGTAGTTCTTAAGTTTCTTTAAGTGAAAGGATTGTGTAAAATAAGCCTCCTCTGTATCTACAGTCTTGTCCGTTATCACCTCTTATCTAATTGGCGATACTGGACATAGATCAGTGTAATGCCATTCTGAGGGACATAATGGGATTTTAATCATGAGTAGTAATGTTTCTCATAAAATTTAGTTTGACAGAAATGAAATAACAAGTCCATATATACTAAGCACAAGCAAGCACGGAGCTTTAGTTGCATGCTTTTGATGTCCTTATTTTAATATGTTTGTTGCAAGTTTATAATTTGTAAATTTTCCCAGTAATAATAGAGGAAACTATTGAAACAGTTTGTAGTAAGAAGTTCTGCTGTCTGTTTGT